CATTTTCAAATGTATTAAAATAGAAAACAGTTATTTTAAATGGTACTAATATTTCACAATATTACTGTATTTATGATCAAATAAATGCATCTTTGGTGAGCATTATTTTTTCAAACACTAAACTTTTTTTTTTACCAACCCCAAACTTTTGTATTGTCGTGCAAGCTAAATTTCAGAAAAGCCAGTTGATAAGTTGACAATGAAAATAAGAAATATTAGACAAACTGTCCATTTAAATGCAAAAGAATGTGAGTTATTTTAAATGGTACTAATATTTCACAATATTACTGTATTTATGATCAAATAAATGCATCTTTGGTGAGCATTATTTTTTCAAACACTAAACTTTTTTTTTTACCAACCCCAAACTTTTGTATAGTCGTGCAAGCTAAATTTCAGAAAAGCCAGTTGATAAGTTAACAATGAAAATAAGAAATATTAGACAAACTGTCCATTTAAATGCAAAAGAATGTGCATCCAACCTCATATGGAGCTCAGCATCGCTGGAGCACATGTCCTGTTTGAGAATGCATGTACAATGAGGAATTCCTTCATGGTTGGGCAGATTTTGTCATGTATTTTGTTTTCATTATTTATACAACATTTTTAAAACACTTTTAGGCTATATATGGAATCCAATGTAGTTTTTTGAATCCTAGACTCCCAGAGGTTGCACTCAGATGAGCTGTTTGTACTTCTAAAAGTTATCATTAGTTTTCCTGTCGATACATAACAGCAGTTGATGAATCCTAGTTCCTTTTTTTATATGAAATTCCTCTTTAATAATTGCGTACCATTTATTTAGCTAGTAGATTCAATGATGGACAATACTGAATGTAAGTCTTTGAGGATAAATGCCACTGTAAAAGCGCTGATCATAATTTGCAACGTAGTAAAGCAACATTCACATATGTTAAATGGCACTTTATTTAGTACCTTTATGGCCATGCAATATGCTGCCTGCTGCAATTGTATGACGCCCCACTGTTTCTGACATGACTGGCTTCATCATGGGTCCTGCACATGGTGCTGTTAGCCCTCCCATGTTTGTACCTTGAAGGTTGTACATTTTTTATAGCCAGATTAATTTTAATGGAAAGATATAACCCTCTATACCAAGAGGCTTGAAATGGTTATATATAGAGTCCTTAACCAAGTCAACCAGCAGATAGTAGTTCTACAACAACTTCTCATTTGACATATAAAGGCCCAGCTTCTAAATTGCAAAGTCTATGACTCATGCAAGACATTTATTATTTTATTTTATTATTTTAATTTTCAGACACATTTTGAATTATTTCATTTATTGGCATTTTTGGCATTTATTTTAAGGAATCGTGTTAGAAAAAAAATCTTAGAAAAGCCATTGAGCTAGTTTGGTAACAATAAAAATGAGCTAGTTGTTAACAAAAAACAAGTTAACAATAAAAATAAATTTTTTTTGGTTTAGTTTAGTTTTCCTTAATTCAGCTTCAGTAATTGAATTGGCAATTCAATTCTGAATGATACAAAACCCTGCTTCCCACAGTCCTTTGCTCTATTGCCAACCTTCTTGGTTGCTCCCAAAATATCCTGAGCCACCCTGACTCTCCGTGTAACCGTGGTTGTCAGTTTGACCATCGGCTGGAAACAGTTATGTAAAAGGCAGAACTGGCTGCTGTTAGATGAGCCTGAGAGGAAGCCTGATTAAAGGCAGAGCTTTGGCATGGCACATGAATAATCTCTCCAGGCCTGTTTGGATCTGCATGCCTGGATGCTGCTGGTACTGTACAATGTGTCACGGATAATGAACTTAGCATTTCTCCTGCTGAAGCACACACATGTACACACACAGCTGTCGGCTCTTGTGATTGCTCTTGAGAGGTTGAGTGTGGAGCAGCAGTGTGGGTGTTTGAAGATCTTAGCTAAATTATTTTGACTCTTGACCTCCACACGACACGTGTGACCTGTTATGCTTGCATTCCAGATACAACTGAGTTAAATTAGATGGCTGGAAGAGTGAAAGTGTGAATGGGTTGATCTCACATACTGTACCCTGTGAATATAATTAGTACTTATAAAGCACATATCATGTCTAGGTTATATTTCACCCCTAAATAATAATAATAATAATAATAATAATGATTACATTTAGTTTAAAAAAAAAAAAACTCATTACAGTAATGTCAATCAATTGTATTGTTTTACAAAAAAATATATAATTTTGGTGAATGTTAATATTAATAAAGTTTAAAATCAGTATTTGGTCAGTTTGCATTTATACATTTTAATATTTATTTCTGATATTATCTGATATATAAGATATTATTAAATATTTCAATATTAAATATTTCAATTAAATTATATTTAAATATTTTATTTAAATATGCAACCTTCTTGTTATTATTAATAATTGTAATTTTCAGGAAGATAATGCAACATGAATCCAGGCACTTTATTTATTTTTTAGTTATGTCCTTTTTTTTTTTTTTTGCTATGGATTCAAGGGTCTTTGAGATGGAAATTGTATTTCAAATATGACACCGTATATTATATTTGGGTAGCATCTCTTTTGATAAGTTGGTTAATAATGAATATAAATTCATATTCAGTGTCCTGGCGGACAGCAAACAGATGGCCATAAGAAAATGGTTAAAGGCAGAGCCACATTCTCATTCACATTATACTCAACATTTGGTAACACTTCAATATAGGGACCAATTCTCACTATTAACTAGTTGCTTATTAGCATGCCTATTATTAACATATTGGCTGTTTATTAGTACTTATAAAGCACATATTCTGCTTGACCATATTCTACATCTCTACCTAAACTCAACAACTACCTTACTAACTATTAATAAGCAGCAAATCAGGAGTTTGAGTTGTAGTTAATGGTTTGTTAATATCGAGAATTGGACCTTAAAATAAAGTGTGACCCAACATTTATATTATGGAAAGTCTTTCTCTCTGAAGTATTAAATTGAGTCTAAAAGGCTAAATGGACTAAGTGCATTAAAGCCACGCAGCCAGATTTTCTTTGAATTGTTAGGATAGATAGAAGAGAAAATTCTGTCATTAATTACTCACCCTCATGTCGTTCCAAACCTTCGTTCATCTTCGGAACATAAATTAAAGGGGACTTTTACATGGTGTTTGCATATAAATGTGTCTTAGCAGTGTGTGGACACAACCACCCTACAATGATAAAAATCCATTCACTTGGATTTTTTTAATCCCCAAAAAACCTAGACAGTTTCATTTATCAAGCCATTTTGATTTTCTCAGAAAGCCATTTCGATTTTTTTTTTGTCAGAAAGCTCTCGGATTTCATCAAAAATATTTTAATTTGGGTTCCGAAGATGAACGAAGGTCTTGCAGGTTTGGAACGACATGAAGGTGAGCAAATAATGACAGAATTTTCATTTTTGGGTGAATTATCCCTTTAATGTATTTTGGTTTATTAAGGTAATAGCACCATGTTACAGTTATTGTAGAAGGAGGGAAAAAAAAAAATATATATATATATATTCCACGAATAAATTCAATAAATTAGAATGTCGTGGAAAAGTTCATTTATTTCAGTAATTCAACTCAAATTGTGAAACTCGTGTATTAAATAAATTTAGTGCACACAGACTGAAGTAGTTTAAGTCTTTGGTTCTTTTAATTGTGATGATTTTGGCTCACATTTAACAAAAACCCACCAATTCACTATCTCAACAAATTAGTATATGGTGACATGCTAATCAACTCAAAACACCTGCAAAGGTTTCCTGAGTCTTCAAAATGGTCTCTCAGCTTGGTTCACTAGGCTACACAATCATGGGGAAGGCTGCTGATCTGACAGTTGTCCAGAAGACAATCATTGACACCCTTCACAAGGAGGGTAAGCCACAAACATTCATTGCCAAAGAAGCTGGCTGTTCACAGAGTGATGTATCCAAGCATGTTAACAGAAAGTTGAGTGGAAGGAAAAAGTGTGGAAGAAAAAGATGCACAACCAAACGAGAGAACCGCAGCCTTATGAGGATTGTCAAGAAAAATCGATTCAAGAATTTGAGTGAACTTCAACATGAATGGACTGAGGCTGGGGTCAAGGCATCAAGAGCCACCACACACAGACGTGTCAAGGAATTTGGCTACAGTTGTCGTATTCCTCTTGTTAAGCCACTCCTGAACCACAGACAACATCAGAGGCGTCTTACCTGGAATTGGTGGGTTTTTGTTAAATGTGAGCCAAAATCATCACAATTAAAAGAACCAAAGACTTAAACTACTTCAGTCGGTGTGCATTGAATTTATTTAATACACAAGTTTCACAATTTGAGTTGAATTACTGAAATAAATGAACTTTTCCACGACATTCTAATTTGAGATGCACCTGTGTATATATATATATATATATATATATATATATATACACACACATATACTGTATATGTGGTTCATATATGCGATTTTATTAATTATTTATAAATATCTACTTCTTTTACTTCAATCATTTATAAGATTGATGAGATTCACCCTAAAACATCCATCAAGACATTTTCTAAATAAACCCACGTAAACTAAAATGATGATAGCTTCTCCAGTTCCTTTCAAATTCAGGAATCGAGAGTATAATTTAGTTTGAAGAACACTGTGGCCTTTGATTTTTCAAGATTGACTAGAGGTCTTGCTCTAGCTGTATCAGAAGGATTCACTCATAGCACCCTTGAGCACTGGGATGTTGGGAATGGCTCGTGGAATCAGATTAGTAGAGATATAATTGGGTTAGTGAGAGTCTTGAGTGGCCAGCGAGACAGAAAGATCAGGTAATCCACACAAGCTGCTAAAAGTTGAAGCAAACAGTTGAACTACAAACCTTGAGTGTGAAGAATGTGTGCCCACATACGAATCTCTGATACAACTAACATTTTAATTGCACACAAACACATACAGTGCCTTCAGCTTTCTTATTTTGTCAAACATTTTGATAGCTGATGCCTCCTCTTTTTTTTTTGTTTCTCTCTCTTCAGAGTAAAGAAATCACCTTTCAGCTGCAAGAGGATTTGATGAAAGTCCTCAACGAGCTCTACACGGTAAGTACCGTAATGAATAACACTCCTCTCATTGACAGCTATGTATAGTGAGTTGTGATAGTCAATCTCTTGTGAGAACAGAAAAATGTAGTATTTTATGCCTATACTTCTAGCTTCAGGCTGCACCCAGGAGTGTACTATGGTGAAAGACCCATAAAATGGCCTATACTTCATGCATCCTCATCTCTGACCTTGGTAGATTACGGTGTTTACACCAATAATCAATAGTTAATTCTCAGACTTTAATTACTGCTGTCAAGCCCACCGCAATCGCTCGGAAGATTCATGTGTCCTTTGCTTCCCCGGTGGTCTTAATAAGATGATAATGTATTCCCAGGTCTAAAAAACACCTGCTATGAGGACTTGTCCTCTGTGTGTTTATTTGTTTGCAAAGTTCAACGTTGCATAATATGTGTTTTTCTGTTAAATCTGTTTACTTTAGTTGCTTTGTACTTTATTAACATGTCTTAACTAAATGATTTGAAAAAGCGTAAATTAAGTGATGAATTATGTATCTTCAATGTTAATATTCCAAGTTTTTGTTTTTAGCCTGTGACTGTCAAAAACAACACAAACGACGGAGAATTGGTTTCTTTTTGTAACTCATTGTGTCACTAGTTCCACGCATGTTGAAATGCCATTGGCCCCATATCGTACTCCTCATAGCTGTTTTTAAAGGGGTCATATGATGCTATTTTAAAGATCATTATTTTGTGTATTTGGTGTAACAGAATATGTTGACATGCTTTAATGTTCAAAAAACACATTATTTTTCAAATACTGTACATTATTGTAGGTCCTCTATGCCCCGCCTCTCTCAAATGGGTCGTTTTCAACAAAGCCCCCTCCTTTGACAAGCGCAGTCTGCTCTGATTGGCCAGCTGACCCAGTGCATTGTGATTGGCCAAACACCACAAGCACGCGTTGGAAATGTAACGCCCCTTACCATAATCGCAGCTTCAGCTTTCAAAGTAAATATCAAGACAGTTTATAATGTCGTTAGTTTTACCATCAGTTCAAGCCCGAAAGGGCAACAGAGTCGCGTGACAGACACAGTGATGATGCAGTACACAAGCCGCGGTTAAGACAGCTGACGTGCTATGATTCCTGACAGACTGTTCACTCTCCTGTGATGTGACCCTGTTCCCCACACACACACACACAATGGCTGACTCTTAACTTTTATAAAGAATATCTCTTTGGATTTGAGACTTTAGTCTTTGCAACTTTACAGATCTTCTTTATGCACCAAGAGCTTGTAACACTCCAAAGAGAAAGGAAAACTTGAAATTGCGTCATATGACCCCTTTAAAACAGGGTTCCTCAATAGGCGGCCTGCAGGCCACATCCAGCCCGTGAGGGAAAAAAGTTTGGCCCGCGCTAATTTCAAATAATGTGTCATGAAAATTCAAACGCAGCATCAGAAAGCTACATTAACTTACGTTGTGTCTACACCAGACGCGAGCGGCGCGGCACAATAAAATACAAAATCCATTATAATCAGTGATGCTGTCAACACTGGATGCGGCGCGACACGACAAATCCCAGACAGTAAACTGCTGACTCGTTCTATTTATAACGTACTGACACAATGTTCAAATGATTTGCAATGCTTTGTCGCGTCCAGTGTAGATACGATGTGACAGCAAAAACATGGCGAGTGTGTAGAAAAGAAAAGTGGACACGGAAAATAGATGATTCAAATGTGAATGGACTGAACAGTTTTGGGTGACTGATATCTTTGTTATGGAATACACGTGTTGGTTCGCAGTGAGTTCACAATTTTAACGTACAAGTTTGCTTTAATTTATTTTCAAGATCTGAGGTAAAATATATCTATTGTTGCTTTCACTATGGCTATAAAGATAACGCAAAATAATATTCAAACTCACATTAGACACTTTTAACATTGAATAAAGCACATAATCATTACCTGAGATTATCACGGTCATATTTTGTATGTTGTTCCTGTTGCGACGTTGCAGAAAATAAAAACCGTTTCAAAAATAGAATCCCATGTTGCTTATTATCACGTGTCGCTGTCGCGGGTGGTTAGGACAAAAACTACAAGGAATGTAATATTCAACAGGCAAAGTTCTTCTGCATCTAAATGCAAAAATTTTCAGAATTGTTTGAATAAAACAGACTATGGGGGAAAAAATCTGAATATTCATCTTGTGACCATTTTGTGATTATTTTAACAAAAGCAACACTAATATAATAAATGTAATAATAATAACAGTTTTATACTATATATATATATATATATATATATATATATAAGTATATATACAGGTCAGTGACCTTTGGCTTGGTATTGTTGGCAGAATACGGCCCTCGGCGAAAACTAATTGAGGAACCCTGTTTTAAAACATCAGATATGTTCTGATTGGTTGGTTTTGTCATTTTGCACAGCATTTCAGTTTCTATTATACATAGCAATGAAGTACATGGGATCTTCAATTTTAACTTGCACTATTATTTAAAAGTTGTTCACCAAGGCTTATTTAAAAATACAGTAAAAATATTATTTAGTATTATTGTGAAATATTATTACCATTTTAAATAACTTTTCTATTTTAATATATTTTAATATGTAATTTATTCCTGTGATGACAAAGTTGAATTTTCAGCATCAATATTCCAGACTTAAGTGTTACATGATTCTTCAGAAATCATTCTTATATGCTGATCTGTGCTCAAGAAGCTTTTTTTTTTATCAATGTTGAAAATAGTTGTGTTGCTTAATATTTTTGTGGAAACCATTATTTATATTTTTATATATATATATATATATAAGGATTATTAATATTAAAAATATTAGGATTCTTTGATGAATAGAAAGTTAAAAAAACAGCATTTATTTGAAGTAGAATTTTATTGGGGCAATGTAAAACTGTACTTTTTATCTCATTTTTAAAAATATTTTATATAATACAAAATAATATTAATTTAAAAATATTTTATATAATACAAAATAATATTAAATACAAACTTGTTAATATAATACAAATTATATTAAATACAAATTAAATATATTTAATATATTATATTAAATATATTTTAACATATATTTAAAAAATATATATTTTAATATTTGATTTAATAAAATGTAATACATCTTTGCTATATTAAAGTATTAATTTCTCACCCCAAAACATTTGAATGACAAAATTTCTGCTTTCAAAATTTTCACTAAACTGGTTTCAATTAGAAATGGTGATTTTGATTTGTCTTTCCATTCTCTCATCATAAGAACCCATCGAGAAAATCAATCCCAGATTCTTTTTTTATTTTTTGAAGCAGTCACATTTATATTTTTTGAACGTTTGATCTTGTAATCGTTCCACACAGCACAGCTTCCTTTTGATCAGTGTAGAAGTATATCATTCTTTTTGACCTGAATTACCCTTCTGGAGAGAAACACTCTTGTAGGACCGTTGCATTAGAAATCCTCCATGCAACCACAGCCAGTAAAATAACAGGTCTGGTGTGACTCTAAAATCGGGCCTTCTAAAACCAGCAGAAATGTAAACAGAGTCCCAGAGCAGTAAGTGGAGAGCGGGGCCCCTGGTTTGGTCTGCCATCCTAGCCATGTGTCTAATTATACAGTCGTGGACAGCAGTGCACTGTGCTGCTCCGACGGTACATATTTATGAACAATATTTAGTTTGGTCCACGTTTTATAGTCAAGCTCTCTTTTGAGGCCCTTTGAGGCTTTACTGTACTGTGAATTATAATGCTGCGTGACTGCCACTGTGATTATGGCCTGGACTGACCTGGTGTTCAGAGGTCTAATCGTGAATGGGTCCTTGTAATCAGCTTGGTGCTCAGTCACCTTTGATTGAGGAGAAGGCAAGCTGATGTAGAGCTTAGCGCTTTAGCATTAGCATCAGGCTTCACAAAGAGGCTTACAACGCACAAGGCACAAAAACATTACAATCGTATTTACAAAACTGTTAAAGGTTTCATTTTTTCCCACCTAAATAAGTGTTAGCGTGCATTTCTAACAGTCAGACAGCCAGGGAAAAAAATGAGAGGGCAGCAGTGCATGCTAATGCTCATATTTACGTTTAGAGAATAAAACAAACACGTTACCCTTATAGGGATAGTCCACCTTAAAATAAAAATTCTAGCATTATTTACTCACCCTCATGTCATTCCTAATATGAATGACTGAATTTGTTTTGTTTATTTTCTTTCGTAAAAGAGATATCTTGAAGAATGTTGGTAACCAACATGTACAGTATGGACATAAAGTACAATATAAGTTAATAGTAGCTGAAACGGTTTAGTTATCAATATTCTTTAAAATATATTATTTTGTGTTCCACAGAGAAAAGAAATGCATACGGGTTTGTAATAACATGAGGGTGAGTAAATTATGACTGATTTTTGGCAGGACTGTCCCTGCAGGGTTAAAGTTTGGAGAGTAACTCGTCCGCCACCATTTTTGCTAGGAATATATTTTGTTTCTTAATGGTTGTGCTAACAATTTTTTGCTTATGGGCTATAAAACTACCTATTAAAAATCTATTAGATTTATATTGAATGATGGACCCGAGCCATATCCACTGTTATTTTAGGATTTATACTAATAATAGTATAGTATTTATAAATATTTTACTATTTTTAGTTTTAGTGTGGGTTTTAATATTTTTATTATGTGCCTTTGTCATTTTTATTTTATGAATTATTTATTCTTAATTTTTAAAAATATTTTTAGCTTTATTTTTATTTCATTTTTAGTATTAGTAATTTTAATGCTTCATCTTAAAATTAGTTTTTAGTTCGTTTCCAAGGCAGCACTTTATTTAAATTATTGAAAGCAATTTTTAATCATATCAGTTTTAGTTAACGATACCAACACTGGCCATATCTAGAGGCTAAAATATCATAGATATTTAGAGGTCTACCCACCCAGAATACCACCCAAAATACCATAGCAATGCACTAAAAACCAATAAAGAGTGTCTTAGCAACCACATAACATGCATTAGCATCTCTCTTTTTTTTCCAGAAGATGTTTCAGTATTGCCGTGTACTTTTAAAACTTTTACTTTCATAGAAACTGACATAATTTTATATATTTCTAGGAAAAGAGAGTTATCAGCTGCATGCAGTGTTCAATCATGCCGTGCCGATGTTACATCAATTACAATGTGACAAAGCTTTTAGCATTAACTAAGAGCTCGCACTTTGTGAAGAGTTTGACATGGTAGGCATAATTAGTTTGCTAGTACAGGCTCATACGTTCTGAGTCACATCCTAATGCTCATTATAAAATTAATCTGGATATGACTAATTGCCACCTAACCAAAACAATGACTCAAGCCGTCTGAAGCAGCGTTTACCATTATGTTGCACATTCACATCTCAATAATTGGATTTCTTCACATGGGTTTAGTAGTCCAATATGTGCATTTCATCTGAAAAGGCCTTTGGGTTTGATGAAAGAAGTTGAGTAAGGTAAAAAATATTAGGTGATGCGGTACAGTACGCGACTGATTCTGTTTGCAGTTACCAGTGTAGTTCAAATATGACGTTTTACCAGTGTAATAGTTTCAATATCTCTAATAGTACCAGTAAAAGTGTATTTTTTTTTTCTTGGTAAAATAAAAGCTCCATCACGGCCCATTAAGAAGCTAGAATTTTGTTTCATTTTGTTACTCTTTGAAAGAGCTGATTGTAACTTAAACGGGTCATATGATGCTACATGCACTTTTACAAGTTGTTTGAACTGAAATGTGTGTTGGCAGTGTGTGTACACAACCACCCTATAATGATAAAAATCCACCCAGTGTTTTTTTGTTAATCTACTAAAATCTTTACCCTTTTCTCAAAGTTAGCCAATCTCAGATGGCTGTCTGTGTGATGTCACAAAAACAGGCCCCTCCCATGATAGTTTGATTGACAGTAGTGTTTCAGCACAGACTGGACTGGCGTCTTACCTTAGACCCGCCCTGAGTGAGCTGTCATCAGTCCGCCATTGTTTCACCGCCGGAGTAGATGTAGACAAGAATGACTCCTAAGCGATTGAGGTGTTCTGTTGTTGGATGCAATAATGAACATAACAGTCGTCATTTACTCCTGAAATCTGAGCTGCTGAAGATGCAGTGGATTGTTTGTTTTTGAAGGGAATGCACCCCTGATCTACATAAATGCATCTATGTTCGCGCAAATCATTCATGATCCAGCCTCATCTACAGAAGAAGTGAGTGTAAGGTTTTTTAATGAATCTTTACAAATCGCCTTTCCTAACAATGTGCTAATTAGCCAGTTTCACGATGAATGCGGCTAAAGTAAACAGTCTCTCTGAGAGCAGCTCGGAAGAGAGGGGCGGGGGCAGCAGAGCTCATTAACATTTAAAGGAAAATGCTACAAAATGCATGCTCTGAAAAGAGCTGTTTTTGACAGGGTAAAAAAGGTGTTTTTTACACTACCATTGAGACAATTTAACCAAACTATCTTAGACTTTTCATTAAGACCCTAAAGAATCATATCAACTTGTGGAAAATGGGCATCCTATGACCCCTTTAAATGCAAATGAAGGTATATGAAAGAAAAAAATATGCATCTCTATTTTGTCTTAAAACATTTCAGTTGGTGCTTTTTGGCTTTACATAACAAAAGAAAGTTTGTCTGAAGGAGAACAGAATTGATTTGTGTCAAGTGGGAGGATGGAGATGTTTTGGTTCAGACGAGCAGCACCTCTCTGGAGCTCAGCTGGCTGTTGTTGAACTTTGACCTCTGACCTCTGGGTCCGGCAGGTGATGAAAACCTACCATATGTATCACACGGAGAGCATCAGTGCCGAGAGCAAACTGAAAGAGGCTGAGAAGCAAGAGGAGAAGCAGATCGGACGTGTTGGAGATCCCGTCTTTCACATCCGACTAGAGGAAAGACACCAGAGACGGAGCTCTGTGAAGAAGATTGAGAAGATGAAGGAGAAGGTAAATAAGAAATAAAGTGTTTAGTAACACAACAACCAGACTACGATCGACCATCCAAAGAAACTGTCAGAATCAATCTCAAGTTCTCAAGGCCTATTGGATCCATACCTCATATAATGGAATGTCTGAGTCATATTTTACTGAAAAAATAAAATAAAAGAGTAAATAAAGAAAAATGAAATAATTTAAATAATTTAAAGAAATAATTCTTTAAAGAAAATGCCTATTTTATTATATTTTTTAACATGACTGTATTTTTATGACAATTAAGCACATTTAAATTTATTTTTAATTATCATAAATAAGTTAACAGTATTTAAAATAAAATCCTAAAATAGGCTTAAATTAATTTGTACAAAATGTAATATCTTATTTCTTTTGATTTTGACCCATATTTCATTAATTATTTGTAATGTGCTTTCTCATACCGTACACAAAACACGACAGAACATGTAATGCAAAGAATAAACCAAACTTAAATGCAATAAAATGGCAAACAATAAAAAAGTTATTATTATTATAATTATTAATGAACTTCCTTCTGGACCTAAGTTTTATGCATCAGACATGTTTTTGATAGAAGACATGCCTGACCCTGCTTTCACAGGAATGGCAATGTTTTATGCTCTTAGTATATTTGTTTTTTGTTAAAACCCGTGACAAATGATTTAACAGCTGGGGGATTGTTTTTTCCATGGATGCTTCCTGGAACGAGACATTGTGGGATGGTTAAAATATGGAAGTTAGCGTGAGTCACTGTCTGTTGGTCAGTCAATTGAGTTAAACGACTTTAAGTGTGTCTGATATAGGGCTGCACGATCAATCGAAATGGAATCGCGATTCGACAGAAGCTGCGATTGTCATGCGTATCTTTCAGTGAAGCACGGTTCTGTGATCAGCAGTAAATCTCCATCCAAAGGCCAGAGGGCGCTCTCGCACTGAAACTCCAAATACGTCTCGCAGAAGAGACCCAGAAAATGCCTATCACTGCAGCTGAATAAACAGAAGATTCAACTGCTTTCATTGATTCAACGTGACTAATAAACACACGACTACGGCAATATACGGTTTATCGGAGTTCTTCTTCTTATTATTATTATAATTTTATTTAAAATAAAGTATATTTATAATGCAATGCGTTTATCACTGCTTAAATACTATGAAATATGTTGCGTGCCTTATTCTGTGTAAGAAGCCACATCATCTCACAGAAGGATTTATTTCAAACACTCGACTGATGTTATGAAGTGAGTTTGGAGTAAAAATATGTTATTAAATGTGTTATTTTCACATGCTTTCAGATGGAGCAGCATTTACTTCACAGAGCCGTAGTTCACTGAGAAGCTATGCAAAGAGCTGTCATTATCGCGAACGATTTCTTCGATTTCAGAATCACGCAATAAAATCGTCTGCATTTTTTTGCGTAACTTGTCAGTGAACCATGGCTATGTGTAGTAAATTCTGCTCCATCTGAAAGCACGTGATGATGATTTCCTGCTGATTACAGAACCGGCTTTTTTCAACAAATTGCGCATGACAATCACATTCGATTAATCGTGCAGCCCTATGTCTGAATGTTAGTAATATCCTTGCTGATACAGGAAATGAGCAATACTTGTTCTTTAAGATTTTTTGTAACCACATAGATGTACCATATAAGTCCATAAATGTCTGTATAATTATTTTTTGCAGTTTATATGCTTATATATCTTTTTGATTTATTTTTGGAAGCATTTATTCCCTGTCTCTCCACACAAAAAATCTCGAAAGAACAGGCTGCATGCAGAGATAAAAGCACCTTTGCATGTTTTTATGTTTCAACAAATTTCTCAAATTCTGTCTGTTTCGTTTCTCCACTCTTTCTCTCTCATCAGAGGCAGGCCAAGCACTCTGAGAACAAGCTGAAGTCGATCAAAGCTCGGAACGAATACCTGCTGACGCTCGAAGCCACTAATGCTTCAATCTTCAAGTATTATATTCACGACTTGTCTGATTTAACAGACGTAAGTACTGGGGAATGAAAAGGAGGTTCAGGGATTCTTCCACAGACTAAGAAACTTAGTGTGACAAGTAGGACAGTTATAAATGGTTTCAAACTGACCTCAGATCTGCTGGGACAGCTAAATATGACAAAGACTGCTGCCGTTTTCATCGGTTTCTTGGTTGAATATGCATCTTTGTCTACACCTGCTTTGATCTGAGGAAATGCATAGACTCCTCAGTAAGATTTCTGTCAACGTTGCATTCAAATTTAAGCTATTGAGACTTCAAATGCAGGCGTGTCTGTCAGGAATGAGATGTTTTAAAAAATGCACTGTGGTTAAAATGCATTCATTTCCATATCTCCAAGTAACCACACAAACCTGTTATTTAAATACGTTTTATGAAGGCCTGATTGTCAAATGCATTCGATTGAGAGAGAATGAGGAGCTTAACGTAACGTCTGTGTAAAATAAGGTGGTAAAGAATGATCCTCGTAGAGAATAAGCTAAGAAAATAATGGTGGTTTAAACGTAGGTGGAGAAACCAGAGGCCTTTTCCAAAAGTGTGTGACTAAATGAAAAAGCTTTTATTTTGCATTTTTATTTCTAGTGTAGTACAAAATTATTCATTCAATTTTAGGGGATCATTTACATTAAAATGTTTTATATATTATTGTCCCTCTTTTCTTTTAATGACAGCAACACTCCACAAGTTTGTGTAAAACCTGATGATCATGTTCTCTATCATTATTTGAGATTATATAAATAGTTCTCCTAGATATAGTTGAGAATATTAAATATTTCTTATTCATTTCACATCATTAGTTTTCTTTGTTTCAAATATTCAACATTTAATTTCCAGGTGGAATATTATTATTATTATTATTTTTATTTTTTTTGTACCCCCTTTTTATGTTATTTTGTATGAGGTGGCTGTTGTCCTACTTTTATATTAAGGTACTGTATGTCCCCCTTCTGAATATGTCAAAGCATTTTTTTTTAGCATGAATGGCGAAGAAGTGGCACCCAGCCCTAAAACCCAGTTTTCTGTTAATCAGACTGTCTGGGAGTCTCTTTTAGATCAACTACTGTATGTTACAATGTACCTTTTTCACGTTTTGAGCACTGAGCACTGCTCCTTCACTATTTTACAGCCCCAGCATAAATTATTATCAAATCCTGTCAGCATCATTTATTTATAAACTGAATATCCAGCAATATTATTTTCATCTACGAAACAAAAACCTCTCTGCAGGGAGAGAGTGTTTGGGTGATATTATATGCGTGCACAGTCAGTTTTTTAGACATTTCTTTGGAGGAGAAAGAACTCGACCTTGTCTGGTTAAAATTATATCTTGTATAAAGATGTTTTTGCCCCTGCATACTGCTAACGAACCAATGGGTACCTCTGCATGGGCTCCCCATTATGGGTCCATGTTTATTAATATAATTTTTATTTTATTTATTTATTTTTTATTTTGGCATGCAAGTCAAGCTCCTAAAACCCCAAAGCAGGTTCATAAAAATGGCTGCGTCATCATTTGGCTCAAGTCAGTGCATAATTTGACTCTCAATTTGAGTTCTGGCACAAGAACCACACCATTTCAGTGAAAAAAGGGTATCCAAATTCTTAAAACAATCAGCAGTCTGACAGACAGAGCAGGCCATCGTGATAATGAAATAAAATGGACTTTGGAGGTTTGCAGACGCTTTGGGAGTCGAGATCTGGCAGATCTTCCAGTGACACCCACCGGCAGAACTTAAATAACCTCCCCAAGGACGCCCCAGTTCTCCCCCATATTTTATTATCTAATTTAATGCATCTTTTTGCATTTCAGTTCCCCATGACTCCAGTATCGGAGTCAAAATCAAATTATGGAAATTCCTGCCAGTCTACGCTTAGCCTTGAACAACTAGGCTACAGGGCTGTTTAGCACAAGTCTTCAGAATCCAAAGCCTTATAAAGACAGCACACACATAACCAGAGCACAGTCAGTATGAGGTCATGTAGGAACGGTCAGACACAGGGTCACAAATATTCCCAAAGCCACAGTTGCTGATAGACCAGTACGTCATGCTGTGCCATTGGTGTTAATATGTTTGGAATGTCAGCTGTGAGTAAGACCTGACGTTTGCTGAAAGTGGCTGAAAGTGACAGATCTTTACTGGTAACCAATAGGTTGTAGGTTTGAGTCTATTCAAGATCTGTCACTTTACTTCACAGGAACTGTGTATTCAATATGTGTACTGTCACTTAAAATTTTGCTACACTTTATTTAAAATGTGTCCGTTAACTGACCTCTTATGCTGCTTTTAAATTACGTTTCACAATTAAAAATGACTTTTGTATAGATTTTGTGTACTGTTAATGACCAATTGAGATGCAACTTGCCAGAAGATGCTACATATTTACATCATTTATGAGATAGTGTACTGTCTTTTTAAATTTGGCCGCTTTACAGTATCAGTGTCAGTTAAGTAACTTTTTATGCTGGTTTCAAAACACACTGAAAATAACTGTACAATATAGTTTGTGTAGATTGTGTACTATTGATGACAAAATGATTACAACTTGCCAGAAAATGCTGCTTATTTACCTAATTTATGAGTGGATAGTCTTTGCACAATTAAAATACATTATCCATCAATATTTGTGGCAGCATGGGAATGATTAAATAATAGATTAAGCATCAATTACACACCTAATATGCATCCTTTGCTCTTCTTTTTGTTGCACTAGTGCTTAAAAGCTTCCTCACTTTGTTGGGAAGTAAGACACACCATCCGTTTTATCATTTGAATGCAGCATATATTACTTAGAAAGATTCTTTGCCCATTATTTAGATTTTTCTGGGCTTTAATAGGTAACGTTTCTCTTCTCTTGGCCTCTCATTTTCCTGTATAGTGTTGTGATCTGGGATATCACGCCTCTCTGAACCGGGCTTTGCGGACCTACCTCTCTGCCGAATATAACCTGGAGACGTCTCGTCACGAGGGTCTGGACATCATTGAGAACGCGGTGGACAGTCTGGACCCACGTAGTGACCGCCAGCGCTTCATGGAAATGTACCCTACTGCCTTCTGCCCACCCGTCAAATTTGAGTTCCAGCCACATATGGGAGATGAGGTCAGATTTAAACAAAGCCGTACCCACATACATATGTACAAACACAGTAGCAGCCACATTGTCACCCAGTGTTTGGTTAAGTAACAACTTAACACCATGTAAACTGAGAGAACTGAGATTTTCTTAACAGTCTGTTATGCTGTAGTTTTTTGTATGTTTTCTTAAACTGCTTGTGTTGTCATTTCTATAAATGTATGTCTAGTAGTTGTGCAAGTAGTAGAAATATTTCTATAAAATCAAGGTTTTTTTATTATTGGTTGATTATTCACAAAAGTAAGAAAATAATGGAAATAGCTAAAGTTTGTCTTGGGGATTAAGAAAGAGTCAACTTAAAATTTCTTTGTTTTTTTTATTTTGATATTATTTTACAGATTTGGTTTTTCACATTGGATTGAACGCCTTAAAGTGGGACAAACCAAATTGCATTACAAATTTCCTCAAATTCATTGCTAATTGTTAACTGGAGGATGATGATGGTAAGAAAGAAGAAACATAAAGAAGCTTCTGCAATATTTCCTAATAAATTGCCCAGAGACATGGCAAAAATATCACTTTTCAACCCAAAGTAGTGGGATTATTTCCAATTCACCCCATGTTCACTTTAAATGTGATTCTGTAATAAATTTTTTTTTTAGATATATCTGTCTTTATGTAACTGTCTATTTATTTAAAAATAAAATTTATTCCTGTGGTGGCAAATCTATATTATCAGGAGCCATTAATGCTGTCTTCAGTGTCACATTATCCTTTAGAAATCATTTAAATATGCTGATTTCAAGAATTTCTTATTTTTATCAATGAAGAATCAGTTGAGCTGCTTTATTTTTTTCATGGAAAAGGCGATGCATCATTTACAGAATTCTTTGAATAGAAAAGTCAAAAGGACAAAATTTATTTGAAATGGAAATCTTCGTAAAATTATAAATGTGTTTTATTTTGATAAAAATTAATGCATCCTTGCTGCATAAGGTATTAATCTCTTTAAAAGAAAATGTAGTGACCCAATACTTTTGAACTCCCATGGTACATCTACCAGCCCATCCATTAACCTCATGCTAATCTTGTCTAAAGCCGTGTTGAAGCATATGAGATCATACAGGATACAGAGTGGAGAAAAGCGTCTTAATGAAATTCTGAATTATATGTGGTCAGGATTGCTTCATATCCTTCTTTTATTGTGTATCAGCTGGCAGCGTGTGCGCAGAGCGCTGAGAGCAAATCATATTGTATTTCTCGCCCTTAAGCAGTTTTGAGAGAGTGTTTATTGGATTTATCTTCCTTAATTGGCCATTTTGTCACTGATATAATGTCTGCGCATGGTTTACAACCTGTTGTTTTGCAGTCATGCCTGTACTCTCTTGGTCAATGAAACCAACTGGGGTTTTGCTTTATAAGAGTCGGTTATAATGATTGTGCCAGGTGTTGGTTATTTGTTTGAAAATGAGATTCCTCCTCTAGAGAGCTCTGTTCTATTAGAGCAGGATCTCTAAAGGCCCGTTCACAACAAGGATGATAACTATAATGATAGCAATAAAGATGTAGTTTTAAAAATCATTCTAAATTGAAAAGAATAGCAGAGTCAACACAAACAATAACGATAACGGCACAGTGGAACAATATTGTTGGAATCACTTTCAAAGTGTTTTCTCAGCTGATGAACGATGAAAACATTGACAGCCAATCAGAATCCATCTTGCTTCAAAGAGCTTGAAATAGATGACACAACGTTGGTGGGTTATGGTTAATATTCTTTGGTGTGAACCGGCCTTAATGGTGACTATCATCTTGCTTTCTTTTAGAGCTGGGCGATAAGGCAAAAAACATAATTACAATATTCATTTACCAATAATGGAGAAGGAAATGCTTTCCACATGTTTGTTAGAGCTTGAGAATGAACGTAAACAACTTGTTTCTTCACATTTAGTAAGCTAGAATTTAGGACCCCATTAAATTTGTTTAATTTTTTCCCATAAATTCTGTGTTAATGATTTAAAGGGGTCATATGAGGCTGCTAAAAAGAACATTATTTTGTGTATTTGGTGTAATGAAATGTGTTTATGCGGTTTAAAGTAAAAAAAAAAACATTATTTTCCACATAATGTACATTATTGCTTCTCCTCTATGCCCCGCCTTTCTGAAGCGCGTCGATTTTTACAAAGCTCATCGGTCTGAAAAAGCGAGGTGTGCTCTGATTGGCCAGCTATCCAGTGCATTGTGATTGGCCAAATTCCTCAAGCATGTGACGGAAATGTTACGTCCCTTATCATATTGTGATGCCTGCGGCAACCACATGTAACGACCCCGGGCTGGACTCCGCTTTGTCCACGGTGAAAGCCGATCCGGCGATCCACAGCGCGAAGTTGAAGTATTTCCTCAGTGACCAGCACGGATCAGCTCTAGGCTTGACGAAGCGATATCGTCCTCTTTTGGAAGGCCAAACAAAGTAGTTTCACTTTCACAACGAAGCACACAGCGCCTTCACGACATGGCGGCAACAATACTACAGCGAGAATAAAAGTTACGCCTTCTTTCTTTGTGTGAACATTTGGGCTGCGTTATGCAAATCTTCCCAGATAGTGAGGAAGATATGTGGGGGCGTGTTTTAGGTAGGTGTGGCTGACTCTTAACTTTTATAAAGATTATCTCTTTGGATTTGAGACTTTAGTCTTTGCAACTTTACAGATCTTCTTTATGCACCAAGAGCTTGTAACACTCCAAAGAGAAAGGAAAAATTGAAATCGCATCATATGACCCCTTTAATACAAATTTATCATCAAAAAAAGGTGTGAGATGAAATTAATTAATAAAACTTGAATAATTTAATCAATCCTCTAAAATGTAATCAAATGAAAATATAACAATTAATGTACGACAAAACATAGCATTTTTATTTTTTGTCAAATAAGATAAAAATTTAAACTTGGATGGAAATGTAAAGCATTTTAGTATACAGTAATATATTTCTGTCATAATTTCTTCACTTTAAACCAAACTTTTTTTGTTTTGGCAGATTGTCGTGATGATCTTTGAGTTTCAGTGTATTTGACCATAGTTTTTCTCAAATTAAACTATGAAAAGCTGCTGAAGTGACTCTCAGAGCAGCTCTGGAGTTCATGTGGACTGTCCTCACATATTGAGACGGCAGACTCAGCACCGGGTGTTTGATTTGTGTAGTAGATGAAACTTCGGCTGATAGATTAATCCATATACAGCTTATCATAGTTATCAACATAAATGTTATCACAATCTCGATATGATATTATTTATCGCCCAGCCCTAGGGGGAGGGTAGTAGATGACATTCCGGGTCACTAAAGACCCAATGTAGGTTAATGGCGACTGTCATCTTTCTGTGTTATAATTGAAAGTCTGTTTGTTTTCAGGTGTGTCAGATCACGGCCCAGCCTCCAGTGCAGGGAGAACTCCTCCTGAGGTTCCAGCAGCTTCAATACCGTCTGGCCACCCTAAAGATAGAGAACGAAGAGGTAAGGTGACCCGAGCACCACCAGAGATGGTCAGGAGCAATGGAAGTTACATTTAAAATAGATCAAAATGGCATTTGCAATCAGTTTTAATCAAATCCCTCACCTATACCATCACTTTTGTGCCCTTTCTCAGAAATTCACTTTGGATTATAAAGTGTCTGCTAAATAACATCGGACGATCACCAGTGCTGAAGTGATTGTGTTCATTTGAACTGCATAAATTAATTTGACAATCTTGTTAATAAGTTAGCCATGTCCAGGAACGCGCATGGCATATCTTCCTGTTGCATTAGAGCGAGGCAGCTTTGCAATGTGTTTGCTTAATTGAGTTGGCAGGAGCTGATCGTAAAAGAGGCTTTGGGAGGACTTACAAGAAATAGTTTTTTTCCTCCCTGCAGAGTTTTCACTGTCCTCCAGATAACCCGAGTGACGCACAGAGAAGCTTCTCTCAGTGACACCGTCTCCCTTTGCTTCCTGCAGACTGTGTCTGTCTTTTTCACATTTTATTATCTTTGCCTTCTACAAGGCTGCAACATTTGAATCAGGCCTTAAGTCGAATGCTGAAAAACCACTCAGTCAGGAAGATGGAGGAGTCTGGGATCGCTTTTTGGCTTTATCGTGTCCATATTAGATGAACGAGTGTCTTACATCTGCCCTCTTCTTCTCTTATCTCCTTCCTGTTATTTCTCTGCCGTGAATCTTTTTCTCAGTTTTGACAGACAAAATCACAATTTGGCACTGAATGTGTCCAGTGTGTGCAGTTGTTGTTCCTGCACAGATTTAACATGCCTTGTTAGCCAGATCTATGTATATACAATATTTGATGCAGCATTAGAAATGGTCAGTCCTGTGTGAATTTTATTGCTTCAGGGAGTGGTTTTGATGTGGACCTATAGTCCTTGGTAGACTTTTCCAACAAGGAGCTGATAAATCATCTGCTGTAAAGAACGATTGCTCAGCCCACTGTCAGTGTTGTCTTGGAAGCTAAATGGTTCTGGAAAAATGGCAAGCTAACTGAAATATTGCATATTGTAGCAGATTGTAAAAAACGAAAGAGGCTCTTGCAATATTTAAAAAAAAAAAGAAAATTATTGTAAGGATGTGGAGAGCCTGAATGCTGTTTGAATACATGGCAGACTTCATGTTCAACTACAAAGAGAGAATTTGATTAAATAGTATATTTTTATGCATTATAGTAAAAGGAATAAGATTTCATTTGTTTTTTATTTGTTTACAGTGTTCTATTTATTTATTTTATTTTTATTTAATGCTCTTAACATTGTCTGTTCAAATAAATAATATTTTTTTAAAAATCACATATTTTATAAGCCTACTTTGGGCATTGCTTTGTTAAAAAAAATGTTGTCCCATTTTTTTCTTTAAAGTGCGGATATTTGGTTATGTTGTCATTGACCAGAATTTTGAAGAATATTGTAGAATGTTGAAAATATAAAAAAAAAAATTGTAAACAAAAAAACTGTTAAAGAAAATAAAGCTTTTGCTAAATTTTTGACCTTAAACTATTTGGAATAGCCATTTTAATTGACCAAACAACACTGTTATCAGTCCTAAATATTGACTGATTGTATATTGTTCTGTCACTAGTATTTTGCATGTGCTAAATGACAGGTGTTTATAGTGACTGGACCACTGACCAGGCTGAAAGGAAGTGGAAGGATGTGAGGTCAGGGCACTTCCTGGTTACTCCAGATGGCTTAAAGCATCTTTTGATTCAGACTCAAGGTCTGCAATGAACATGACACAGGATACTGGACATAGTGTTGAGTTTTTGTGCATCTGTTTCCTAGAACCTTCATTGATTCAGATGACAAAAGAAAGGATTCGAAGAATACATTATTATAGTACAACCGCCATAAACCACTCAGCTTTGCCTCGTTCTCAAACACACCTTTGTCGGACACAAAGGAAGAATATATCTGTCAATTCAAGCTTCCTGTTTAATCCTTTCATTTTTCTTCAGCAATTATCCAGCTGTCAACTCTTCTTTTTTCCATTTTTCTTCTCAAGCTTATAATTGACTAGTGTAAATAGTGTTTGCTGTAGAGATTAGGGTGAGATTGGAGTTCTCAGATGAGAATTGACAGTGTTATCTCTGACTTTCTGTCCCACTCCCTTTATCGTTCTCTCCTGCCCTTCTTGCCTTCTCTAATGGATATTCTGCTCACATCAGACACTAAAACCCCACTAAGGCACTGCGTCGATCTCCGTAGGAAGTGTCTGTTTGTTTTGCAGGAGACAAACCTCTGGGAGGCACATCAAACGCTGGGAGATCTGTGTCCTGCTCCTGCTGCTGCGTGAAGCACTGATCGTCTGATTGCGGCCCTCTCTGCTGCCTTTGTACTGATTATCGCGCCCTTCTATTTGTGCTAATGCTGATTGCTGCAGTGCTACAGATGTGCCAGAATGCCATCTTGTTACCCCGAGTAGCTTGTTCATCAGTCTTACAGATCAAACAGTCAAAAGAATACTGATCAGCAAATAGGCGTTTCCAACCGATAAATGATTTGGTAGTACATAATGCTGCATCTTTCCATATAAGTATATGTTTCATTATGTTATATAATGCATATCAGATTCATGTACATTCTGATGTGAATATATTTGCAAAGATAGAAGTATATCAAAGTTTCATGGCATTTCTGTCATGAGATGTGGTCTGGCAGGTATTATGTAGCCGACTTTGAATCCGGTTTAGATAATTTTCCAATCTCGGATTGCCAAGCTTTTTCCCCAATTTTTTTTTTTTTATCTTGCTTTAACTATTTTTTTTCTGCACATATAGATGGATGGATGGATGTATAGATAGATTTTAATTATTTTAGAAGTAATTCACACTACATACTGTAGCGTCTGGACCAATCAAAAACATAATTTTTCATTTGATTTAACAAATCAGTTATTCATTAGATTAACAAGTCTTCACAGACGACCCCACCCATAAACTGGGGCCCAGGATGTCTGCCAAATGACCACGGCCCCCTGGTTACCATGGCAAATGAGGTTTAAAAAAAAAAAGCTGAAGAGCCCAGGCTTTTCAAGCAGCGTTAAAGATACTTTTAGAAAATCCCTCTTATTTTCCACATAATTTCATTTGGACTGCTTTCATGTCCTTGAAACAGAGCTCTTCGCTACCCCCTGCACTCAGTTTACCTCTTTGTAACCTGTCTGCCTTTTGTTATTGCTCAGCTGAGGTTGACTTTCCAAGTAAACCACATCCTACAAGACAGGTGCGGCATATCATCCATAAAGGCCTTCACCAAAACCAGACCACAGACTGTTTAACGTCAGGAGGCGGGTTTAAACCTGTGAACATCTCTCAGTGTTTCAGTTGCCACAATAGGTTGGTGAATCACAAGTGGAACAGTGACCTGGATCCAGACTGTTTTAGGTGTGAGTGCTGGTTTCCATTGACTTGTATGTCATCCTCTATTGATTTGAAGGATGATTCAGCCTGAAATTGACAATGAGAGATGAGCTCACTGTGTGATGAAACTGCTATAGTTTTATGCTGCGTGATACCGTGTGGTGATGCACACTGTGGTTGTGTGACATCGTCTATAGTTGTCTATATGTATCTTCTTGTGTGTTCTGCAAGAAGATTGCAGTGTTTGTGCAAACAGAAAAAGCTCTGCTTACATTCAGAACTGTGTGTTTGTGGGTACTCGTGTGAAAGAGAGCATGTCAGCATGAGAGAAATTTGCTCTTCCATACTGTGCAGCCTCTTTCAGCAGGTGAACAAATGCTTCCACTGAGCGATTGCACCAGCTTTCAACATCTTTTCCCCATCTTATTTTTTTAAAACTCTTGCTTTCTCCTTTTTGCCATTTAATGTGATTAAATGATTAAATCGTTGAATTATTTTTAGTAATATATATTAAACTCTCTCTAAATTTTATATAAAATTTAATTTAAATGTACTTTTATTTATTTATTTATTTCCACTGAGTGATTGCACCAGCTTTCTCATTCTCATTTTCAGATTCATGTGGTTAAATAATTGTTTTAATGATATTAATATATATTTAAAAATGTAATTAAATCACACACATACAATTTTAATTACATTTTTTATGCATGTATGTATGTATGTGTGTATATGTATATATATGTATATATGTATGTGTGTGTGTGTGTGTTTTATTATAATTTATTGCTTTTTTTCATTATTTCCAGCTTTCAATATATTTTTATTTTTTATCTTTCCAATTTTCTTTTTTAACTCCTTGCCTTGTCCTTTTCACCATTTTATGTGGTTAATTTATTATGTTTTTATTGTGTTTTTATTTAGTGCTGTCAGTTGATTATTGTAATTGGGTTAATTTACATGATGGGCTAATTAAATAATCAAATTATAACAGTATTTATCAATATTTGCAGAGAAATGCTAATTAAAGCGTTGAATGCACATTACAAAAAGTAGCTTTATATTGTTTATTTTATTCATTAGAGCCTGTCACTGCTTTACAATTCACTTTGCAATTTGCGATCACTTTGTCAGTCTGTTCCTCTTGGGATATAAGGGGACAGTTCCAGATATTTAGAACTGTATGATAATGTTGCATGTCCGACACTGGAAAGATACAGAAATGAATCCTCAAGGCCATCAAATGAATGGTGGTCCCTTGGGTCATCTTCCGCTCCCCTTGCTATAAATTGATTTCTTTGGTCTGGTGTCTTGCTCAAGGCCTGCTATTAGTCACAGAGCACATGCCATGCAGGGACTGTCAGAGATTTTTTTTTTTCCCGCCCTGTCTTTCATTTGGTGCTTAATGTGTTTTTCTAGCATTTTTTTCCTCCTCTTATCACTCTTGCGCTGACACACGTTCTTATTAATAAATGTTGCGAGACTATTCTAAAGTTATATTGTTTTGGATTGTGCCTCTAATACTGTAACAAATGATAAAAATTACTCTTTGTTGCTAGTGTCTGCTACATGTGACTGTGTCTTTCCTATTAAAAATGTTGTCCCGTTTCAGATCAAGAAGACCTCAGAGGCCACTCTCACTACTGTCCAGGACATGGTGACCATCGAGGACTATGACGTGTCCGAAAGTTTCCATCACAGCCGCTCCACTGAATCAGTCAAGTCCACCGTGTCGGAAACCTACCTCAGCAAGCCGAGCATCGCCAAGAGACGCGCCAACCAACAGGAGACGGAGCAGTTCTATTTTATGGTCAATTTTGCTTCATTAAGATTTACTAGTATTTTAAATTAAATTGGTCACTTTATTTAAATAAATATTTTTCATAGGCATGTTATCATGTTTCATCTTTAAACTGGTGCATTTTAAGAAAGATTTGCCAAGACTGGTTGTTTTTGAGATTTTAATTTACTTATTTATTATTATTAAAGAAATAAATGTAGAAATACATTTTCATAGATAAAATGTTCATATAATCAAGTTTCACTGTGCAATATAAGAAAGTCTTGCAAAAAAGTATTTTATTTTCAATTTATATATTTTAATTAAACAAGTCACTTTATTTAAATGTTTTTCATAGGCATGTTATCAAGTACTTTAAACTGGTGCATTATAAGAAAGATTTGCCAAGATTGGTTGTTTTTGAGACAACAGACAGACAGACAGACATATCGATAGATAGATCGATAGATAGATATAATTTACTTATTTTTTATTATATTTTATTATTTTATGTTTTATTATTATTTATTTTGAGGGAAGAAAAAGCTCATTGAGTTTCATTGCTCATAACAAATATTTATGGCTGGTATGTTTTCTCAATTCACTCTCCTCTGGCGGATGTGGCAAAAAAGTTAATTCTGGTGCTGTACTTGCTCAAGTCAATCTGCTGTCAAATGTTTTTGGTCTCAGGCTGGTCTCAATCATGTCTCTTCACAGAAGTTCCGCGAGTATCTGGAGGGCAGCAATCTCATCACTAAGCTTCAGGCAAAGCATGATCTATTGAAGAGGACCCTCGGTGATGGTATTGTTTGCTTTTCTTTGTTCATAGGGTCAGCCCTTTGAACTAAAAACACACAATGATAGAGATAATTTATAACACATTTGGATCATAATCCTCTTGGCCAGTAGAAACCAGCAGGAAGCTGCTCATGTGGGTGATGCAACCTCATATTAACCTCATATTAATTAAGCACGATAGTATGGAGGATTATAATTCCCGCATCATGTATAAATCTGCTCATCATGTTGCCTCTTCATATTTTGGAGCCCGGGGCATTTCAGTTTTGTGTTGTGAACACTGCAGACTCTGCTGTCAGGGGCCGCTAAGTGAATGCTGTGTGGGTGGGATCAACAAATCATGTTCCCTTGCCTAAAATCAACCGTGCCTGTTTTTTAAAGATTGTAGGCAGTAGTCTGCCTGCTGCATACTGACACTTCGATGAAATATTTTTATAGCTAAACGGGTACCTGTAATTCAAACGTAGAATTTCTCTTAAAAATGTACCAATGTCCTAAAGGTGTATGTGTGGATGTCCAGTTTCAGACAGATGGCTGGCTGCATGTGCTCTACTGAGCATAAACGAAAGCCTCCCCTGGGCCTCTGAAGAACAGTGTTCTCACATTCTCTCTTTTTCTCTCTCTCTCTCTCTCTCTCTCTCTTTATCTCTCTCTCTCTTTTCCTCGATCTGTTTCTCACACAGGTTACCGTCCTGAGTATGCGACTACAAGGTAAAAAATGTTCTCTGCCCTATTCAGTTTGTCTTGTTTGGTATCGTCGTCAGCACATAAAGTGTCAGATGTAATATTAGTTTAACATTTCTCTCAAAGATTACAAGCAAAATGTGGCATGAATGAGATCAGTTCTGTCTGTCTTCTGTCTATCCATCCTACTGTATTTATCTGTTTTTATTATATGTCTGCATATCTGTCTGTCGATCTATTTATCATTCTATCTATCGTTCTATCTGTCATTCTGTTTTGTCTGCAATTCTGTCTGTCATTCTGACTATTGGTTTGCCTGGTGTTCTGTCTGTTTTATATCTATCAGTTGTTCTGTCGTTCCATCTGTCATTCTATCTATCATTCTGTCTTTCTATATATGATTCTATCTTTTTCTGTTCTATTTTTCATTCTACTGTTCTAGCCGTCATTCTTTCGTTCTATCATTCTACCTGCCATTCTGACTGTCATTCTATCTATCAGTCTGTCTGTTAGTTATGTTGTTCTATATATTAGTTCTGTCTTTCTGTCAGTTCTGTTTTCATTCTATCTGTCGTTCTGGTCGTTGTTCTGACATTCAATCTTTCTATCGTTTGTTCTGTTGTTCTATTAGTCATTCTATCTATCTATCTCTGTCTGTCATTATATTTATCATTCTATCAGTTGTTCTATCTATGTATCTGTTGTTGTTTGTAGTTATATCCTTCTCTCTATCTATCAGTCTATTCATTCTATTGGTCTGTCATTCTATCATTCTGCTTATCACAATGTCATTGTATCGTTCTGTCTTGTTATTCTACAGTTCTAACTGTCTATCATTATATCATTCTACACTCTAAAAAATGCTGGGCTAAATACAACCCAGTACTGGGTAAAATAGGGACAAACCCAGCAATTGGGTTGTTTTGAAATTTAACCCAGCATTTTTTAGTGTATAAATATTTTTTTATCAATCTTTCTATCTATAGTTCCTTTCATTGTCCTGTATTTATAGGTACACTATACATACTATCTCTATCTCTCTCTCTCTCTCTCTCTCTCTCTCTCTCTCTCTATATATATATATATATATATATACATAAACAGCGTATCGTGATGAGGTCCGAACAGTAGACCAAATGCTTTAGACTGCTTAATTCAACACAATGCTTTGCACTAATAGTGCTTTTTTATATTCAACCTCTCTCAGAATTCTTACAGGGCACAGTTTAAAAGCATGTGAAAAAGCTCTCCTCTTGAGTAAGGGGCAAGTTTACTGTATTCCTGTAGACATTGAAGAGGGAGCTGACAACATTCTGAAATTGAACTCAGATTTTTAGGTATAACCCCATACGATCTTTTCTTTAAAACACCAGCTGCCCAGGCCAAGTCAAAAGATTTCGTGCTTGGACATCTCTCGCACTCCCACCGCCTGCTGTTCCCAGCAGACCTGCCATTTCCATGGCCTTTGATGTGTGGTGGAAGTGAAGTTTATGAACAGGACATTGGTGTGTGCACACCACTGAACCAGGCACAATGGGAGCTTACCTCTTACCCCAAATAACCTAAAATCACATGTCCACAACTTCATTTTGTCTCTCAACCAGAATTGTTCGATACACTGTACTGTATTTTCTAAAGCTTACAACAGGTTCAAGATTAAAAGTATAAACATCTCTTTATAGGCCTCCCAGTCTTCCTCCTAAACCGTTTGGCACACAGAGGCCCAGGCCACGCTCTGTATTTAACGTTAAGCTGTTTAATGGCAATTTGGAGTCATTTGTTAAGGTACTTATAGCTTTGGGTGCCATACTACCTGCACTGAATACCGCCGCTTGAAGCCATAATGATCCACGGCTACTTGCTTCTACTTGACTGATCATTATGGCTGGGGAAGTTTTTTAACAGAGCAGAAATGGAGGTGTGTGTGTGTGTACACATAAAGCGAGATGACGGAGATAAAGTGAGCTTCAGGCATCAACATTCACACAGATGCCTCAGGGCAGCATGAAAGCCTCTTAAAGGGATAGTTCACCTAAAAATATAAAAATCTCTGTTGCGTGTTGTTCCGAACCTGAATTTTTCTCTTATGTGGAACGCAACAGAATGTTCTAGAATGTTCACTCAACTCTTTTCCATACAATGAAAGTGAATATTTAAGACAGGTGTTGTAAAAAGAGCCTTATAAGTTGATTTGATGGCTTTGTGTGAGAGTGAAATTTAAGTTTAAACTTGGCAAATCACACAGTTATGAGACATGAGAATTAAAGGAGTGGTTGATCAGCTTTTTTCGAAGGGTGGATTGTGTTTATGGGGTGCAGGGTAACGTGTTCATGCTTCGTTTTTTTTAAATATGCGATGGGTTCAGATTGGTTAGCTGGCCCAGTGTGTTGTGATTCGCTGACTGTCTAGTGCACATTGTACGGAAACGTCACGCCCCCTTACCAATACGGGTAGTTGCATGTTCCCGGGGGCAGGGTTTATGCAAACATCGGGAAGAAACTCGTTGTAGTCCCTACCAGCCTTTTCCCCCCTGTAGTCCTTAAACAGCGATTTCTTTAAAAGAAAATATCTCCCTTTGCATTGAACTTAGAGCGTCGTAACTTTGCAGACGTTTATGCTCTAACAGCTACATTATACACTGACTAAAGTTAAAAAGGTGAAATAATCAACCACCCCTTTAATGCTGTTTGACATCATTGACTTAAAGCTTTGATTTTTAGCATAAAATGACTTAAATTTCCATCTGTTGTGCACATCAAACTGTTGTATGTCGTCAGAAGTCTTGAAATAAATAGCACGTCATGTTGACCACTTTTATGGTGCTTTCATGGTCATATTTGGAGTTCATCGCCATCTAGCTATATTCAATTTTGTTGAATGAGGAAAAGAGTGACTTGTATTTGTTTATTTTTGGGTGAACCATGGAAAAAAAAGCAAGTCAAAAAAGTTTGGAACGATGTAACGGAGAGTAAATGGTGACAGATTTTTGCTTTATTTTTGGTGAACTACTCTTTTTCATTACCTATAATTTAAGCAAAATTTGTGTCAGCACGCCCCTTCTTTTTCTCTCTGAGGCTGGAGCTAATGGTGTCATTGGAAGACTAATAATGATTTTGTAGGCTGTTGTTGGCGGCTTGTAGTGCTGGGACCAAATAACCTGGGGATCGCCTCTTTCTCTTTTTATTTCTGCTCTCTCACTCTCCGGCTCTTTGTCCTGTCATTCATCTGTTCGTAGTCGTGGACGTCGGAACTCACACACAAGGCACCAGGTACAGAAACAGTCGGCTTGTCCTGATTTGCTCATTGCTGCATGTCTGTCTAAGCTTCCAGTAGTTCATCTTCCAGTCACCTTTGCTTAATTCTAAGGAGTTGTGAACCATGTACAGTGGTGTCTGAATGTCTGAAACCACACTGATTCTGGGATTTCTATTTAAAACCGGAAACGAGGAAACTAACAATAGTTATCATTTAAAATAAAATAAAATAAATATTTATATATATATATTTATTTTTTCTATTTAAATTTTCAGTCAAATTGTTATGCTGACATAATTTAGTACAAAATTGTCCCTGAAAATGATCAGTATGCAAAATAATTTTCACAAGTGGTCTCAGACTTTTGGACCCCGTAGTATATGTGTCCATGTGCTTGACAAGAGTTCATCCTTTTTGGCTTCAGTGACCCTAATGCACACAATTATGATTTATTGAATTTAATGGAGAGAATTTCCCACAAATTAAATAACTTTTTACAATTAATAATAATATTTTCACGCTAGAATTGTATAGTGCTTAACACAGGCCAGAAGGTAATTCATAGAATTAAGATTCTATTAAATATTAAATATATTAATATTACAATTTTAATACTGCATAGAACATGTGAAAAATAAGCAAAGAAATTGATAATTTAAAAAAATCATTATGACTAATTATTTAAATTTATATCAAAAAGATTAAAATAATCCAGTATGAAGTAAAAGTGCTGCACAATAGTGCAGAGTTAGTTTTCCAGCATTCCTTGTCTTTTCCACCTCTGTTTCGATTATGATTTATGATTTTGTATCAGTATCAATAATTAAACATGTTCATGGCAGTACGTTTTGTATTCACCATATTGCACTGATAATAGCTGGGAAATGTAGTGCCTGTGAGGTCTGCCTCTGTTCCTGGCACGCTCACAGTGTTCGGACTTGGCACATTCTCTAGGTTAAAAGCAGATAACAGCATTTTTAAAAACTTGTAAGATAGAGCCCTGCCAAAAACTGAACAAACAGCTCTAACCGCACACAACAGGCAGCACGGACGCCACGATCACATAGCTGGATTCACTTAAGAATTTCAGTTTTTCCACTGGTGGCATTGGCTCCATTCATGTTCAAGAACCATGTTAGCACGCTGATCTAAGTTCTGTCTGAGACACAGAATCCTAGGTGTGCACTTTAAAAAGGGTCTGTAAGGCTCAAGAAGGATTATCTTCTCATCTCCGACATGAATGATACATGATGTGTGGGATAGTTTCAGTTGATTTGGAGCTAGACTGATTGTTTAGCCCACATCCTGATTTGATGCCAATGTTTGTCTTGTTTTAAGGACTCTGGACAAGCAATACCAAGAGTTGTTGAGAGCTGTATTCGATTCATCAACCTGTATGGTAAGTTTATTGCAATAACCTTGTAACTTAAAATACCCATAATTCTTTAGAATGGCTCACTATCGTCATTAAAACACCCAAAAAGCCTGAAGATGAAGTTTACAGCTATGCTATTGTCTTTAAAATGGTCCAATCCAATTGCTACCTGTCCTGTCATTAGTTAGGTTTGGGACAAATTTAGAGTCTGGGTAGGGCATGTTTTTGCGTGCCCCTTCCGAATCTGTCCCATCCCAGTGTAGGCCATGCACAGACTTGTTTTAGATCTATTTCAAGTTTAGTTAGTGTTTTTAAATGATGTGCTCAAAGAGGTCTTTATCATATGCCTATATAAACTATGTGTACGCGGTTGTAGATCCTGTGTGCCTATTGTAAACTCTGAAAGTTGTCTGTGTGTGGCCGTCTTACTGGAACTATAGAGATGTTTTTAATTAATCTTTTCTGACCCTCAGCCAAGCTTTCCATTTAAAGCTAATCCGGACTGACGGATGTTTTTGTAGAAGTTGATTGCAGTCTCTCTCGTTCATTCATTATCTTTAATTAGAAAAAGGGAACTTTTCGAAAGCACAGGGCTTAGCTTTTGAGGTTGGGATTTGAATGTGGTTACTATGGACCAGCCTTTATTTCCAGCGGATTTAAATGGACACCGAAAGACGTCTTATTTAAGCTTATTTCACAGTTTTTCTCTCTATTTTTTAGGCCTCCAACATCAAGGAATATTCCGAGTATCTGGATCTCAAGTTGAGGTCAATGATATCAAGAACTCTTTTGAAAGAGGTGTGTGTGTAAATGTGGTAACAGAGTTCAGATTTCTGTCATAGCTCTGAAAGCGTTGCCACAGCTGAATAATAGTGAATCTCTTGTGTCTTCAATGGGTCATATGAGCCATGAACCTAAATTCACATGATTTAAGGAGACTTCCTTCCTGGGAAAAACATCTACCGGGGAGAACATGTTTTTGACATTTTCCTTTTATTTGTAAAGATCCATAATTCCATATCAGTATTTCTTGCATGCCAAGATAAGGCAAAATAGTTTATTAGAAGTTGTGTTTTCAACAAATGCTGATGTTTAGGTTCTTTTTTTGTGTGCATATATTAAATATAAATATTTTGTTCAGCAGATTTGACACACGTTATGTCTCTTAGGTAATGATCCCCTGACAGACGAAGAGAATAACCACGATATAAACTCTGTTGCGGGCGTTTTGAAACTCTACTTTCGAGGTTTGGAGAACCCTCTGTTTCCAAAGGAAAGATTCAATGATCTCATCTCTTGTGTCAGTAAGTGCCTTATTTTTTTTGCTTTCTACTGACCTGCAGCTGTAAATCTGTCATTGATTCTCAGTGTGAATTAACAGTGCTTTGAACTGTTATCGTGCGCCCTCACATAAAGAGATCTCAGTCATTTGCCCCCAACAGTGGGACAGTGACTTTCTTCACTGTATGACAAGATGTCCAGCGCCTCAGGCTAACGCTAACAGCCTTATGCACTCTCCATTACAGCACAGTGTGTGTTCCACCGTGGCATGACACATTAGGGCTTCAGCTGGTCCTTCAACTGGCATGAATGCAACTTTGTGTGAGTTTGAAAGAGCTCAGAAAGCGTGCTTTATCATGATCATAGATGACGCTACACTGCACTGAATGAATGAATGCAGTGTGACACCATGATGCTCAGTCGTTTCGGTTGGGTTAATGGGATATTTGTGATCGACAGCTCGCTAAGCTGTGCCACTTTTGATGCCAAGTTTGTTCTCTAATCAAATAACAATATGATGTTGTTTTAACATTTCTAATAAAAATATTGTTATGGACAAAATGACTGTATGCAATAGTGTATTTAAATGATATATTATATAAATAAATGAATTAAAAAAAAATTATATTAAAATAAAAAGTATAAAATATATCAATTTTATATATATTATATATTATATATTTTATATATAGTTTTAAATAGTTTTTGAATGAATTTATGAATATGTATATATACTGTATTCATTCAAAAACTATTTAAAACTATCATAGTAGTTGAAGTACTGGCATAGTTTACCCTGAATCTTCTGACAAACTTAAGCCCAGAGCTACAATTTTTAGATATATCTTTCATTTAATAATTCATAACTAATATTTAGCCTAATAATTCACATGGTTTATAGTCATTAGCATTTTTAGACCTGGATGCATTTACGTTGATGTTTACCTGCCATGTGGGAAATAGTTTTTCAATTATTTTACATGCAAAAACGTTTTTAGCATAAATATATCACTTGTAGCTTTATATGACAGGCCTTTCTAAATATTTGGCCACATGTGAAAATTTGTGCAGAGTTTGCTAGATTAAGGTGCCGTGCGCTTGCATGTGTGGGTTGGGTGGGTTTTGTTAGTTTGTGCATGTGGAGTAATGTGAAGGCATGTGTTCATACATACCTGACCAACGTGCGGCCCTGTGCCTGTGACACTCTGTAGAGTGTGACGAATGGGGATTCCCTGCTGTTTACATTTACACATGACTAACCCCTTCCCAGCATTCCACACACTCTCTCCAACACGAACGGTGTCTCCTGTTCTCTGTCCCTGGCAGATCTATATATAGACTGTCAGAGATGTGCGTTCTCTGCACTGTGGGAGTTTTGTTTCTGCAGACATGTGCCTTGTCTGTGGTGAGGCTTTAAACTGCTTCCCTTACTCAGGATCTTTTGGAAACCCAGTTTCGTGCTCAAGTAAGACGAATAACAGAAGCATAGTAGCATGTTCCCAGATCTTTTTTAATGGTGACATGGCTATTTTACACTGCTATCAGGATAAATCGAGGATCTGGGTGTACTAAAGTATGGATGAGAGCAGGTCACATCAGTTTATAATTAGGCTGATTTTGCTTTTGTCAGTACTGTGTGTCTCACAGCCAACCCATGGGATTTTTAGTGGAAATGTCTTGGTAGTCAGATCAAATCGTAAAATAAGAAGGAAATCAGAAAGATCACAGCTGATATTGTGTCCAGTTCAGTCATCATACCAGTGTTGCCTTGTAATAGTAGAATAGTATCCTTCCAAGCACGGCCTGAGAGTGCTTTACTTAGGAGACCACAAAGATGCATAATGGAATTCCAGGAAGTGAGTTACACTGGCTCCAATGAGAAAACCCAATGAAATCTGTGTGCATTCCTGCAGAAGAGCCGCTGGAATACTCACACACATTTATGGGATGCCAGTCTTCTGGATTAATTTTTTAAGCTCCTTTAAAAAGAGGAGTTGAGTAGTTTTGAGACTTTACCTCTTTTAATGCTCTGGTAATCAGCTTCATTATGTCCAGGGTGAGGGCCAACAAACCCAGCAATTTAATTTAATGAACACAAGTGAATCGCCTCGTTTTTTGACAGATAACTTGTTTAATGCGGTTTGCTCTATGTGGTGATTAAAACACAGAATCAGAGTGTGTGACAGATACACCTACCTCTATCTGTCAAGTCCTCTGTTACAGACTTTTCTGTAAAGTGCAAGTGCACGTACTATATGCTTATATATAACTTCTGGGGCAATTTAAATAAATCAGTATTATTTTAGTATTTTTATATGCTTTTATCTTATTTTTAAACATTATGAATGTTTTCATTTTAATTTTAGTTTTTTATGTGCTTTTGTAGTTTTTATTAGTTTTTTCTTATTTTGTAGATTTATTTTTGTTTCAGTTTTAGCCATTTTAGTTCTTCAACTTAAACTTTAGTTAAGTTAGTTGTTAAGACAACATTTTAAGTTTTCCATCTAATATTTATATTTTATTTTGTTTGAGCTTTATTTCAGCTCCCCAATAGTTTTAGTTTTAGTTAACAATAACACTGCAACAAGTTCAAAAAGAAGTCATGTGTTTTCCACTGAGAGTTGGCTATTGGAGGCGTACGTTTGCAACATGACAAGGTTGGCACAGAGTTTAACTTTGTGTGATTGAACAGCGGTCCAGAGTTATTTTTTCCCCCACATAATGAGCTCAGCCTTGTAACTCCATGAATAGAGCTGCAGTGATGTGGTTATCAGTGAATTAACACGTTCAGATAGAGGAATGTCATTAGATACTCGGGGCTGCTAAGTGCTGTGAATGACAACGGCAGTCCTGAATAATCATTTCTGAATGTCATGGCAGGACAAGTATGTTTCTAGGACTCCTAAGTGGGAGACTTGCATGCATATATTTATTTTTACTTGATTTCTCCCTCTTTTTTGATTTCTCTCTCTTTCTCTTGTAGGAATAGACAATCTGTATGAGAGAGCGCTGTATATACGAAATATTCTTCTTACTGTACCCAGATCAGTCCTTGTGGTCATGCGATATCTGTTCGCCTTCCTCAACCAGTAAGTCCGAATGTTTCACAAACACACAGATGAATGTCCTTATGGAAATGCTTTTTCCATAAATGCTTAAATGAACAGTTCTTCAAATGAAAATATACAAGAATGTTCTTGCTTTTTTGCTGGTTGTCAAATGTCCTAATAGCTTGCTTGTTTTTCCTGCAGCTTGTCCCAGTACAGCGATGAAAATATGATGGACCACTATAATCTGGCCATCTGCTTTGGCCCCACCCTCATGCCCACTCCAGAAACTCAGGACCAGGTCTCCTGCCAGGCCCATGTCAATGAGGTCATCAAAACCATCATCATCCATCACGAGACCATCTTTCCTGACGCGAAGGAGCTTGACGGCCCCATGTACGAGAAGTGTATGGCAGGCGGAGACTATTGGTGAGTGCTGAGATGTGATGGTGATGTTGGTTTTAATTATTTATTGATAACTGTCTGGGCAACTGCATGTAGGTGGGTGAAGGAAGTGTTTATAAGATAGATGTTCATGGGTTGCGCAACCTGAGAGATGAGAATCGAGACAGTGTTTGAGCTTGTTAAAGTTTTATTATTGTATTTTTGAGGATTAGTGATGGTATCCGGACATCCATGGTGTGACTCGAATGAAATAAAAGAAATGATTAGTCAGTGCTATAGTGAGTCACTTATTTTGTTAGCACAGTTTTTGGGTGGGACCTCTTTGTTTTGAAGATCATCTGATCTAGTTGATCCAGGAGGCGAGCATAAATCCTCATAAAATATTTGGAATAAAAGTAATACAGGTCAAAAATGCATAATTTATAGAGATAGTCATTCAGAAACGGAAATTCTGTTATCATTTACTCACAATCCAGCGTCATTTTATTGTTAATAGTGCTCCGTTTGCTATTATTATTATTAAAATGTATCGCATTTTTAAGGGCCTAAACATGCTTGAAAACTCATTAAATTGTACATACACGCCAGAAGTGCCGAAAATTTTCGTCTGATATACAGTATGTTTCAGAAGTGGGTGTGGCAAAATGGCTCGACAACGCCACCTATACACTTTCAACGAAGTACCCCTCGAGCTACGTTTTACATGCATGTATGAAATTCGGTAGACGCATGTAACACACCAATACCTACTCTTAGAGCCAAATCCAAAACCCAACAGGAAGTCAATTATTTTGAATTTTCTCTGCTCTGGGTGTGTGTTTACTACTCACTGTTGTGTGCGTGCACTTGGATGGGTTAAATGCAGAGCACCAATTGGCTACACGTCTCATCACTTTTTTCAAATTTTTGTGTCAGGCATTGTAATTCAACAAACTCCTAGCGATTTAATCAGATTTTAATCTGGAGTTTCCATGTTTGGTTAGAGTCCTGTCCTGAACACATGCCCATGCCCATATTCTGTTACAGTTATAGCGCCACCTTCTGGCAACAGGAAGTGACATGTTTTGCTCTGTAACAAACTCCTCCTAGAGAATTAAGGACATCAAAATTATATTTGGTTCAGTCTAATCTAAAGGCCTTTGCGATGTTAAATTGCGAAGATCTTGAGTTTTCGTTAAAGAGCGTGTCCGTGGCTGCCTGACAAATTTCGATGTTTCACCATGGAAAAGGAAGTTGTTGTAACTCAGCCATACAATGTCCGATCTGCCACAAACTTCACACGCTTGATAAGAGTCCTGGCTTGAACACATCTAAAGACCAATATTCAGTCATATTCACAGCGCCACCTGCTGGCAACAGGAAAATACTTGTTTTACACTAACTTAAACATGCAATGTCTGATCTGCCCCAAACTTCACATGTTTGGTAAGAGTCCTGGCCTGAAAACATCTACATGCAAATATTCAGTTATAGTCATAGCGCCACCAGCTGGCAGCAGCCGATTTTGCTTTTATAAGTACTGTGTGTGTCTCACAGCCAACCCGTGGGATCCGATGGGGTCAAGATCTAGTGGTTAATCTGAAGCTATGTTTGGAATGAGCTAGTAGCATACTGTGTAGTATGCACTCTATTATCTATATTTTGAAAAATAGTATGTGCAACAGTACACAAAGATTTAGATAGTTCTGTGCAAAAGTAATTGTCAAGTAATTTAAATCAGCAAGTCACATCCAATTGTTGGCTTTTTAAAACAAATTTTGGTAGAAATGTATTGGCAGTCGGATCAAATGGTAAAATAAGAAGGAAATCAGAAAGATCACAACTGTTATTATGTCCAGTTCAGTCATCATACTAGTGTTGCCATGAAATAGTGATAGTAGAATAGTATGCTTCCAAACACAGCCTGAGAGGACTATGCTAAGGAGACCACAAAGATCCGTAATGGAATTCCAGAGAGGACAGGAAGTGAGTTATAATGCCTCCAAAGAGAAAACCCAGTGAAATCTGTGTACATTCCTGCAGGAGAGCCGCAGGAATACTCACACACATTTCTGGGATGCCAGTCTTCTGGATGAATTTTTAAGCTTCTTTAAAAAAAAGCAGTTGAATAGTTTTTAGACTTTACCTCTTTTAATGCTCTTGTAATCGGCTTCATTCGGTCCAGGGTGAGGGGCGGCACACCTGCCGATTAATTTAAATGAACTCAAGTAAAATGCCTTGTTTTTTAAAGTCACTCTTTGTGGTGGTTAAAACACTGAATCAGAGAGCGTGTAACAGATACACATACCTGTATCTGCCATGTCCCTGGTTACAGACCTTTCTGTGCATGTGCTATATACTTATATATGACTTGGGCAATTTATATATATGGGCAATTTGAAGCAACAAATCAGTGCTATTTCAGTATTATTTGTCTTTTTATGTTTATTTTGAATTAGCTTTTATTTTTTTGCTTTGTTTTCAATTTTCATTTTAGTTTAGTATTTTTTTTCTTATGTGCTTTTGTCATTTTCATTATTTTTTTGTTTTTTATATTTTATATTATATTTTTGTTTCAGTCTTATTAATTTAGTACTTCGTCTTAAACTTAGGTTCCGAGGAAAGTTTTTTAAGTTGACGTTTTCCATCCAATGCATACATATATGTGTGTGTGTATAATTTCAGAAAATATTTGTAATATTTTCAAAAATATTTTAATAGTTTTAGTTAAAAAGAAGTGAACTTGTTTTCCTGTAAGACTTGGCTATTGGAAATGTTTGTTTGCAAAATGACAAGGTTGGCACAGAATTTAACTTTTAGGTGTGCAAGTTTTATTTATTTATTTATTTTTTCAACATTTAATGAGCTCAGCCTTGTAACTCTATGAATAGAGCTGCAGTGATGTGGTTATCAGTGAATTAACACTTTCAGATGGAGGCATGTCATAAGATACTCAAGGCTGTTAAGTGTCTTGAATGACAACGGCATTTAATATAAAATAATAATAATTTCTGAATGTCATGGCAAGACAAATACACTTTCAGGACTCCTACACTTTCTCTACATGAATGTGAATGTCAGCATTGACGTGTCATGTTAAACCAAATAAGGCTAAATAAATCCTCTGAGTGAGAGACTTGCAGAATCCTGTAAGATATCTACTATATATATTTACTATATTTTTTACTCTTTCTCCCTCTTTTGTAGGAATAGACAATCTGTATGAGAGAGCGCTGTATATACGAAAGATTCTTCTTACTGTACCCAGATCAGTCCTTGTGGTCATGCGATATCTGTTCGCCTTCCTCAACCAGTAAGTCCGAATGTTTCACAAACACACAGATGAATGTCCTTATGGAAATGCTTTTTCCATAAATGCTTAAATGAACAGTTCTTCAAATGAAAATATACAAGAATGTTCTTGCTTTTTTGCTGGTTGTCAAATGTCCTAATAGCTTGCTTGTTTTTCCTGCAGCTTGTCCCAGTACAGCGATGAAAATATGATGGACCACTATAATCTGGCCATCTGCTTTGGCCCCACCCTCATGCCCACTCCAGAAACTCAGGACCAGGTCTCCTGCCAGGCCCATGTCAATGAGGTCATCAAAACCATCATCATCCATCACGAGACCATCTTTCCTGACGCGAAGGAGCTTGACGGCCCCATGTACGAGAAGTGTATGGCAGGCGGAGACTATTGGTGAGTGCTGAGATGTGATGGTGATGTTGGTTTTAATTATTTATTGATAACTGTCTGGGCAACTGCATGTAGGTGGGTGAAGGAAGTGTTTATAAGATAGATGTTCATGGGTTGCGCAACCTGAGAGATGAGAATCGAGACAGTGTTTGAGCTTGTTAAAGTTTTATTATTGTATTTTTGAGGATTAGTGATGGTATCCGGACATCCATGGTGTGACTCGAATGAAATAAAAGAAATGATTAGTCAGTGCTATAGTGAGTCACTTATTTTGTTAGCACAGTTTTTGGGTGGGACCTCTTTGTTTTGAAGATCATCTGATCTAGTTGATCCAGGAGGCGAGCATAAATCCTCATAAAATATTTGGAATAAAAGTAATACAGGTCAAAAATGCATAATTTATAGAGATAGTCATTCAGAAACGGAAATTCTGTTATCATTTACTCACAATCCAGCGTCATTTTATTGTTAATAGTGCTCCGTTTGCTATTATTATTATTAAAATGTATCGCATTTTTAAGGGCCTAAACATGCTTGAAAACTCATTAAATTGTACATACACGCCAGAAGTGCCGAAAGTTTCGTCTGATATACAGTATGTTTCAGAAGTGGGTGTGGCAAAATGGCTCGACAACGCCACCTATACACTTTCAACGAAGTACCCCTCGAGCTACGTTTTACATGCATGTATGAAATTCGGTAGACGCATGTAACACACCAATACCTACTCTTAGAGCCAAATCCAAAACCCAACAGGAAGTCAATTATTTTGAATTTTCTCTGCTCTGGGTGTGTGTTTACTACTCACTGTTGTGTGCGTGCACTTGGATGGGTTAAATGCAGAGCACCAATTGGCTACACGTCTCATCACTTTTTTCAAATTTTTGTGTCAGGCATTGTAATTCAACAAACTCCTAGCGATTTAATCAGATTTTAATCTGGAGTTTCCATGTTTGGTTAGAGTCCTGTCCTGAACACATGCCCATGCCCATATTCTGTTACAGTTATAGCGCCACCTTCTGGCAACAGGAAGTGACATGTTTTGCTCTGTAACAAACTCCTCCTAGAGAATTAAGGACATCAAAATTATATTTGGTTCAGTCTAATCTAAAGGCCTTTGCGATGTTAAATTGCGAAGATCTTGAGTTTTCGTTAAAGAGCGTGTCCGTGGCTGCCTGACAAATTTCGATGTTTCACCATGGAAAAGGAAGTTGTTGTAACTCAGCCATACAATGTCCGATCTGCCACAAACTTCACACGCTTGATAAGAGTCCTGGCTTGAACACATCTAAAGACCAATATTCAGTCATATTCACAGCGCCACCTGCTGGCAACAGGAAAATACTTGTTTTACACTAACTTAAACATGCAATGTCTGATCTGCCCCAAACTTCACATGTTTGGTAAGAGTCCTGGCCTGAAAACATCTACATGCAAATATTCAGTTATAGTCATAGCGCCACCAGCTGGCAGCAATTTTCCTATGTGAAAAGATGTGGTGCCGATAGTGAGCTCTTTAGTTAAGGTGGGACATTTTTTAGAGGCCGAAGGGGTTTGGAGATCTTCAACTAGGTGAGACAGACTGAAACCAATTGAAACTAATTGCTGCCATTAAGGTAAGGAAAGATCGTCAGCCAAACCAACGTTCATTTCTCCCAAAAATGTGCATGGATGAGAAGAGGAAAGAGACATTTTTGGCCAGCTCCACAGCTGTGTGTATGTGTTGGCTTGTGATTTTGTTGTCTCAAAGAGAGCGGTCCAACTCCCACAAGTCTTCATCCCCCAAAATGAAGCAAAACACCTGCCACTGCAAGCATCTATACTTCAGCATTTCAGATATTACATGCACCCTTCTTAAACTTCCTGCAGCCGGTTCTCATATTTTCCCCTTTGGTAGTGTGGCATCCGGGAGTGGCAGTGCTCTGTTTGAAATGGCTTTACTGTGTGTCAGAGGTAATCTGCATGGATGTGAAGGGCATTAGTGCCAGTCTCAGTAACCACGCTGTGCCACTGACAGAATCCCAATCACCCTGCCCTACTCCTCTTGAATACTAATGACAGCCTCTGTATTTTTTGCTTGATGCTGAGTTTTACTCTGGCTGTGACTTAACTCTGTGTTGCCCTGTATAAGCATTTACATACAAAAATACATTACCATTTAAAAGTTTTAAGTCATTAAGAATTCTCTTAAGCTCACCAAGGCGGCATTTATTTGATTAAACATACAGTAAAAACAGTAATATTTAGAAATATTATTACAATTTAAGGTAGCTGTTTACTATTGTGATATATTTTAAAATATCATTTATTCCTGTGACGGCAAAGCTGAATTTTCACCAGTAATTACTTCAGTCTTCAGTGTCACATGATCTTTCAGAAATCATTCAAATATACTCACTTGGTGCTCAAGAAACATTTCTCATTAATGTCAGTTTTGAAACAGTTGAGCTGCTTAATATATTTGTGGAAACCGCAATAAATTTTTTTCAGGATTCTTTGGTGAATAGAAAGTTTAAGAGAACAGCTTTTCTTTGAAATAGAAATCTTCTGTAACATTATCAATTTTGATCAATTTAATGGGTCCTTACTGAATAAACATATTTATTTCTTAAAAAACAAAATCTTTCTGACCTCAAACTTAACCCCAAAACAGTAGTATATTTGTATTTTAGGATGCACAAAACCAGTCAAACGTTTGGTCCAAATTATGTAGTGACCAATAAATGTTAAACAAATTAAAACTGTTATTTTAATCTTTTTTTACTGTACTTTTTAAATGTTTTATAGTGATTTATACATATAGACAGACTTCACAGTTTGTGTATATACAAAATTTGTTTCAAACATTAAGCACATGACTTTAGAACAAAAGGTTTTGAAGCTCATCAGAAACATTTAATTATCTGACTTTTATTATTAAGTCCTTAAATATTTGGTTATAGTTCCTATAAACCTATTATTTGGCAAAAATAATTATTTGTCTTGATTTATTTATTTCTTTTCTTCTGCAGTGAGAGTCCATACAGTGAACACGGAGCTCTTGAGGAGGTTGATCAGGATAGAGGAGCGGAGACCCACACCAGTGAGGATGGTAAGTTTATTTTGTTTACCACACCCTGTAGTAGTATGTGCAGTATGACAACCCATGCCAGTTTATGTAGGTTACACATTAAGAAAGCACTCTGCGCTTATAGGAACAAGGTTAAGTCATCTTTTCCTGTCCAGTCATTCTTCCCATTGGCTCAGATTGGCTTCGGCCAGTGAGCCTCTGGATTGATTTTAGTTCATATAACGTTTTCTGACACGGCCAGTCAAGGGTTAATTCCTACTTGCCCTGACCTGGGTAATCACTTTCTCAGCTCTAAAGGAAGTGATCGTTAAAGAGCGGAGAACTTCGTCCAACTCTTTGGTCCTCCTTTTAGTTTTCTCATCCTTTGGGAAGGGAGACACATCCGTAAACAAAGGAAGAGAGTTTGAATCAATTCTGGTAAATGCTTTCCAGTGCTACAGGGCAACATAGACCAGTCTGTCATTGCTGTAGGGCAGTTTGCATTAAAAATACATGTGGAGTTCTCACCAGTCAGCTCAAAATTGAGTTCTTTTTGTTGCTGCATGTAGTTTTATTATGGAAAAAAACTTCCAAAAAGTTCCCAAAGCTCACTGTCACAAACAAAACTAAAACCAGATGCTCGGCCCATTGATGACACATGAACCAATTCTCATGTGTAATCTGAGAAATAAACTGCAAGTGTCAGACTGAAAACTCAACTCAATCACGTGGTTTGTTTTTGTCTTCTGTACAGTCTTTCAAAAGAACCGAAAGGAAAATGTTGCTGCTGACCTGTATGTTACCCCTCTGAAAATAGACACATTTCCTGCCTCTCCGTCTGTACCTGAACAATGCCTGTTTTCTATTTTGTTATTTTATAAGAGAAGTGGGAAGTCTGCTTTTTCCATATCTAAGATTTGTCAGACAGACAAAAGTCTGTGCAGGGAGTCAGATAAATGCTAGGACTGAATCAGAAATACCAAAAACACACCTTTATCAGAAAGTAGTTGCTTTGAAGTCTATTTTTGTTTTTGGAGCATGAAAACAAATGGTAATAGACTCTCCCTGTAATTGCTCAAATGGGAATTATTTATTTGGCTAAGGCAAGAATATTATTGTCATTCTTGTGTATTAAGTATTACTCAAAGACTAATAATTTGTCCCTCACTGTTTGTGCTACGAACATGAACATGATACCTCAAATTGTGCTGCTTGAGAAGATTTGTGATAAAACTGACCATAAAATAGACTTAAAGTTCCCCTGAAATGCTTCGAAACATGCAGCGTTACTCTAGGTGTTGACGTCATTTTAACTGAAACAGGCAGACAGGGCGGGACATATCAAGCAGCCCCTTTTTAAAATAGCCAATAGCGTTTGTTTATATCACAGCTTGGGCTAGAGCCGTTCAGAGCCGTTGAGCTCCGTAAAGCCGCATTTGACAGGGTATGCCAGCCACAATCTCATCCATATTGCTATAAAATATAGCATTCTGTGTAGAATTCAAATAGCTCCGATACATTTTGTGGTCTGCGCTGACTCTTGCATGTGATCCGCTCTGTGCTATCATGTCCCTGGACCGGAGCAGAGTGTGTGTGGTGCGGTGGTTAGCGTGACACAGAGCGAAACCAGACTTATTTTTTTCCTCAATGGAAAGCATATTTACACTGTTTGAATCGTTTTCTGTCCCCTATATAGTGCACTACGTGCCATTCACTGTACAGAAAATACTAATTCTGTGGACAAGTGACTCACTATTAGACATACAGACATGCACATCTGCATGCTGAAGATTAATTTTGACTGTTCCCATCTTATTGTCTGTTTAAATTTCATGAACCTATAACATTTAACTGAGAAACCTGATACTTGTCAGGGTTTCCATTAACTAACACAGATGTCAAATATCAACGTCAGACCCAATAACTGACCTGAAAATTTTAAAATTGCTCTCAGCTTCCATGGGTTTGCTCCAAATGTTTTCTTAATGAATGTATTGAGAAGGTTTTTCCCAGTAGAGGAATTATTATTCTCTTTCGTCACACTGTGGACATAGCTTATGTCCGATCTCACTTATGGGTAACTTGTATGTTTTGTCTTGTTTCATAATAAGCAATTTGGATTATATTCTATTTCTAAATCTTCTCTCAGAAAAAGTCTCAGTTGGATATTTATCAGCTGTCATTATAATGGAGACGTAAACAATCCTGCGGAACCGATGGCTGTACTGTTAACTTCAAGCATAATTATATCAGCCTGCTCAAACCTGTGACCAGTGCAGCATCTGTCCTCAATCACTGCGTCTGAATGGGATCGTCTCAGGGCCCATCTGGAAAGCCACTTTGCCAAGTGATGGGACCCCTGCTATGCCTTTAGAGCCATTTATTCATTCAAGTGAACTGGAATAAGCAGACAGAATGCTCTCTTGGGAAGAAAAAGACAAATCTCTGCATCTGTGAGAAATCGATGTACAATAAGAATATTGGCCATTTTGGAAATGCTGGTTTGTGTGATATATTTGGTTTGGAGCTTATTTATTGTTTTAATTAAAAAAAAAATTAAATTTTGAACTTTCTATTCATCAAAGGAAAAAAAAATTATGTCACGGTTTCCAAAAAATATAAAGCATCTCAACTGTTTTCAACATTGATAATAATTAAAAAAATATTTCTTAAGCATATATCTTATTATCAGCATGTTAGTATGGTTTTTGAAGGATCATGTGACACTGAAGACTGGAGTAATGATGCTGAAAATCCAGCTTTGCATCACAGGAATAAATTAACCCCTTAACCGTCACCCCCCATTTTTTAAAATAGGCATGCAGGTGCACTATCCAAACTTAAATTGTTGTAATTTATGAACACTTTGGAATACAGACATAAGGTTGGTCTCTTTTTAAAGAAGAAAATCAGCAAATTATCGCATACATTTTTTCAAAAAATGTAAGTATCAAAAAGTTATAGTAGTTTAAATTTAAAGAAAATGCACTATACATTTTTTTTATTTTATATATAATAAATATTTTACATATCAGGTTTTACTCTAAAATTGGTATAAAATTATAGCCTTATGTCTAAATAAGTTATGTTCCAAATTTGAAGTTGCTATGAAAAAAATTGAGATTCCTGTGAGATTTTATTTAGGGCGTTATACCACAAACAGCCAAAAACTCCATTGAATTGGTCACAAATGTCTAGATTTCTCTGTCAATATTACTATATTATATTATTACTATACAATATTATATCTCAAAATAACCACCAAATATGGAATCCTGAGACTCAGACCTTTCCAATGATATGT